TGCGGAGATCGTGCGTGTCGAGGGCGCGAAATGCAGGCGAGAGTGCGATTTGTCTCTGTCCGGCGCAACCCTCTGCAGAGATGGTGTGTGGCGAGGGCGCGAAATGCAGGTGAGAGTGCGATTTGGTTTTGTCCGGCGCAGCCCTCTGCGGAGATCGTGCGCGTCGAGGGCGCGAAATGCAGGCGAGAGTGCGATTTAATTTGTCCGGCGCAACCCCCTGCGGAGATCGTGCGTGTCGAGTGCGTGAAATGCAGGCGAGAGTGCGGGTAGCGCAACCCTCTGCGGAGATCGCGCGTGTTGAGTGCGCGAAATGGGCTTTGTCCGGCGCAACCCTCTGCGGAGATCGTGCGTGTCGAGTGCGCGAAATGCAGGCGACAGGGCGATGAGTCCCATGTGCGCGCGTATCTGGGGAGCTGGAAGATGAGAACTGGCGACTTTGTAGTGCAACTGTAGTACGCGGAGTAGCGGGGTAGCTGGAAGATGAGAATTGGCGACTTTGTAGTAACGGGTGTCCTAAAAGAGTGCCCCGCAAGAGCTTCCCACAAGAGTGAGCCACAACAGAGAGAGTGTCCCACGACAGTATCTTGACATGCTCACATCTGCATATGTACTTCTCCACCTCCACACATCTGCGCATCTATATCACACCTGCACTTCCACACTGTCACTCCTTCACATCCGCCCTCTCCTTCCCTCTTTCTACACATCTTTTCACCTGCGCATCCACATTGTCACTCCTGCACATCCGCCCTCTCCTTCTCTCTTTCTACACATCTTAATATTAATTTGCGTCCAGAGTCGGGGACAAGTCGATGTGAACCATCGGCTTACTCGGAATTGTTGGCAAATCACCTGTCTCGCACGTTCGAGGGGTTCGTTCACGGTGTTCCGTGGAGGATTGAAGAGTTTGAGCCTGAAGCTGCGTCGAGCGATGACGTCGCCGTTGTGGTTGGAGCCTTACTTGAAGTCAGTGCTGCAAGGCTGCAAGGGAAAACATTTCCATAAAGCCACGAATTTGGAGCATATCTGTTTTTTCCCGAATGCGTAGCGAAGGGTTCTCGTTTAACTCTTGGGGGTCTGGGGGTGGAGCCTTGTTCGCGACCCGTTGGTTCTAAGTTCGCGACCGTCCGCAACCGTCCGCAGTAGAGCGCTAAGGCGCTGCCATTGGGGGAAGCTTTTGCAAGTGACATTTTTAATGGATGTGTCACGTGTCAGTTTGCGCCGCTATTCCATTGTGATTTGCATGAAAATGAGATGTCGCGCAAGAAGCGTGATGCGTTTCGCTGCACAGGCGCAGCGTTTTGTGAGATCTGCAGATTGCTGCGCAGTTCCATTGGGATTAGCGTTTGGAGAGTCGTGTTTTTTGGGGTGTTGGATGTGGCCGTGCCATTGGGATTTGCGTTTCAGGGTGTGGCATCGAAGCTCTGTTTTCGTGACAAGTCTCAGCTGAAATGCCGATTTTGGTGGATGGAAGTGTGCTCAGAACGGGTCGAAATCATTCCAAACGTGTGGTGTGGTGCAAATTTTGTTGAAGCTCACATGAGATGATATTGTCACTTTTCGTGGCAGGCGCAGGACTTTGTGCGGCTTTTGAGGTGTGGAAGTGCGATTCTCATGGCAGGCGCAGGGAATCGTGAGGTTGCCAGGTGTGACGGAGGTGACATTTCGTGGCAGGCGCAGTACTTTGCGCGCGTTAGACGTGTGGACGGCGGAAAGATTCGTGGCAGGCGCAGGGAATCGGGAGGTTGTGAGTTGTGGAATGTCGCTGTCACATTGGGATTGGCGTGTCGTTTGGAGGGGCTGGAATCGCGAAACTGCTTGGCAGGGCTGCGTGATGTGTGTGCTCCGATGGGTGTTTCCGCTGGACTTTTGGAGGAAGTCTCGCGCGAAACGTTCGTTTTGCGGACTTTGACGTGTGAGTTTTTGAGGAAGTCTCGTACGAAACGCTCGTTTTGGGGACTTGACATGTGACTTTTGGAGGAAGTCTCGTACGAACCGCTCGTTTTGGAGACTTGACGTGTGACTTTTGGAGGAAGTCTCGTACGAAACGCTCGTTTTTGAGACTTGACGCGTGACTTTTGGAGGACGTCTCGTACGAAACGCTCGTCTTGCAGCCTCGCAGCGTGACTTTTGGAGGAAATCTCGTACGAAGAGTGTGCCCTACAGGAGTGTCCCACAAGAGTGTCCTACAAGAGTGTCCCACAAGAGTGTCCTACAAGAGTATCCCACAAGAGTTTCCTACAAGAGTGTCCCACAAGAGTGTCCGACCAGAGTGTCCCACAAGAGTGTCCCGTATGAGTGTCCCACAAGAGTGTCCCGCAACAGTGTCCCACAAGAGTGTCCCACAAGAGTGCCCCGCATGTCCCACAAGAGTGTCCTACAAGAGTGTCCTACAAGAGTGTCCCACAAGAGTTTCCTACAAGAGTGTCCCACAAGAGTGTCCCACAAGAGTGTCCCACAAGAGTGTCCTGCAAGAGTGTCCCACAAGAGTGTCCCACAAGAGTGTCCTACAAGAGTGTCCCACAAGAGTGTCCCACAAGAGTGTCCTACAAGAGTGTCCCACAAGAGTGTCCTACAAGAGTGTCCCGTGAGAGTGTCTCACAAGAGTGTCCCGCAAGAGTGTCCCGCAACCGTGTCCCACAAGAGTGTCTCACAAGGAGTTAAGAGTGTCCCACAAGAGTGTCCTTTAAGAGTGTCCCACAAGAGTGCCCCGCAAGGGTGCCCTACAAGAGTGTCCCACAAGAGTGTCCTACAAGAGTGTCCCACAAGAGTGTCCTACAAGAGTATCCCACAAGAGATTCCTACAAGAGTGTCCTATAAGACTGTCCCACAAGAGTGTCCCACAAGAGTGTCCCGTAAAAGTGTCCCAAATGAGTGTCCCACAACAGTGTCCCACAAGAGTCTGGAGTGTCCCACAAGAGTGTCCCACAAGAGTGTCCCGCAAGAGCGTCCCAAATGAGTGTCCCACAGGAGTGTCCCACAAGAGTGTCCCGCAACAGTGTCCCGCAAGAGTGTCTCACAAGAGTGTCCCTTAAGAGTGTCCCACAAGAGTGTCCCGCAACAGTGTCCCACAAGAGTGTCCCACAAGAGTGTCCCACAAGAGTTTCCTACAAGAGTGTCCGACAAGAGTGTCCCACAAGAGTATGCCACAAGAGTGGCCCACAGGAGTGTCCCACAAGAGTGTCCCACAAGAGTTTCCTACAAGAGTGTCCCACAAGAGTGTCCCACAAGAGTGCCCTACAAGAGTGTCCCACAAGAGTGTCCTACAAGAGTGTCCCACAAGAGAGTCCCACAAGAGTGTCCCAAATGAGTGTCCCACAGGAGTGTCCCACAAGAGTGTCCCACAAGAGTGTCCCACAAGAGTTTCCTACTAGAGTGTCCCACAAGAGTGTCCCACAAGAGTGTCCCACAAGAGTTTCCTACTAGAGTGTCCCACAAGAGTGTCCCACAAGAGTGTGCAACAAGAGTGTCCCGTAAGAGTGTCCCACAAGAGTGTCCTACAAGAGTGACCCACAAGAGTGTCCCACAAGAGTGTCTTTTGGACATATGTAGCTTTTCGAACGTGTTTGCATTCGGGTTCGTGGGCTCCATCTTGTTTGTTTTTTCACAACATCTTTTGTTTTGCGCAAAGAATGTCTGTCGGAGGATGACCTCTGTGGTTGGAGTGTCTGGAGCGTGGATGTTTGCGTGGAGGTAGTAAAGGCTTTGCAAGTTTGAATGGGTACAGGTTGCTAGAACATGCTTGCGGAACCAGCTTTTGGTTCGAGTCGCGGACGACGCGCGTCATAGTTAGTGCGGTGACTGTTCCATTGTTTGAAGGGATTGTCCGAGAGAATGGACCAGTTACCGCGCTCGTCAGAGGGTTTGCGATGGGAGGAGCTCCGCAACAATACCATGATCAGGGGAGCGGAATGGCTTCGTGGTCGTTTGCAAGAGTTGGGACTGGATGAGCTGCGCAGCTTGGCTGTTGCCGGAGGCATCAGAGCGAGGGTAGGCGACAGATGGCTGCCGGTGGCACAACTGCGCTCTGCGCTTGATGGAAGCCTTGGCACCAACAGAGCAGGCGCAGTCGCTGTGTTTTGAGTACAGGTAAGTATGTGCTTCCAAGGTTATATGGTATATTCTGTGTATTGACAGCGGCGTGATGTTGGAAGTTGCTGTTCTTGGTCATGGGTTTTTCTTGTGTCAGCCGATGCGCGCCTGCGTGATGATGGAAGTTACTTTTCTTGCTGATGGGGCTTGTTTTTTTTCTCCCTGTTGCAAGCCGATGCGTTGTTTCAGGCGAGGTCGTCTTCAAGGTCTGTAGCAGAAGCTCGATGGGAGGAGTTCCGCAACAATGCCGTGAACCAGGGAGCGGAATGGCTGCGTGGATGTTTGGAAGAGACAGGACGTGATGAACTGCGCAGCTTAGCCGTTGCCGGAGGCATCAGAGCGACGATAGGCGATAGATGGCTGCGGGTGGCGCAACTGTGCTCTGCGTTGATGGAAGCCTTGGCGCCCACAGAGCAGGCTCAGTCGCTGGGATGTGGGTATAGATAGGTATGTGCTTCCAAGGTTACATGGTATATGTTCTGTTTATTCACGGCGGCGTGATGTTGGAAGTTGCTGTTCTTGCTCATGGGGCTTGTTTTTTCTTTCGTGACCCGATGCGTTGTTTCAGGCGAGCTCGTCTTCGAGGTCTGTAGCGCAAGCTCGATGGGAGGAGTTCCGCAACAATGCCGTGAACCAGGGAGCGGAATGGCTACGTGGAAGTTTGGAACAGATGGGACGGGACGAGCTGCGCAGCGTGGATGTTGCCGGAGGCATCAGAGCGAAGATAGACGACGGATGGCTACCGGTGGCGCAACTGCGCTCTGCGTTGATGGAAGCCTTGGCGCCAACAGAGCAGGCCCAGTTGCTGTGTTTTGGGTACAGATAGTAAATAGGTGTGCACTGAAAAGGTTATATGGTATAGGTTCTGTTTGTTAACGCCGGCGCGATGTGGTTGGAAGTTACTGTTCTTGCTCATGGGGCTTTTCTTCTTTTGTTAGCTGATGTGTTATTTCAGGCGAGCTCGTCTTCATCTGTTGCGGAAGCTCGATGGGAGGAGTTCCGCAACCATGCCGTGAACCAGGGAGCGGAATGGCTTCGTGGATGTTTGGAACAGATGGGAGCGGTCAAGCTTCGCAGCTTGGCTGTTGATGGCGGCATCGCAGCGAAGAGAGGCGATGGATGGCTGACGGTGACACAACTGCGCTCTGCATTGACGGAAGCCTTGGCGCCAACAGAGCAGGCTCAGTCGCTGTGTTTGGATAGAGGTGGGTACATATTCAAACAATGACATTGGACAAGTTCTGTCGTGGTTTTTCTATCTTTCTTTGCTTCCTGTTGGGTATTGTTTCTGGGGTTGAGGTTTGTGCGTCGAAAGTGGCATGTTATCTGTTGTTTGGAGCAACTAACTTTGATGTTCAAAGGTTGTTTCTGACTTTGGGAGTCCTGTGTGTAATATATGATAATGTCATTGATAATGTTTCGAGCAGGAGCCTGGTGAAGATGGCGATGCTGGGTGTAGCACCAGCCTTTTGTGGCGGTGGCTGCGAAGATGTTTGGAGGGAGAAGCTGTGCCTGACGTTGTGTTATTGCAAGAGGCGGTCACAGACCCAAAGGACCGCATGCGTCCCTTGGCGACCCTGAGTGACAAGACTGTGGGCGAGGTGGAGGCATTACATCTCACGCGTGCTACCCTGGATAGTCGCGTGGTGGACGCGACGTTGCCACTACTTGCTACATTCGAACAGGTCGCAGAAGCGTTACCCAGCAAAGCTGCTCTGGATTCGGTTGATTTATTGCAATTACCAGGTTTTTTGTCTGCCCTGAGAGTGGAACATTTGTTGCGACATCAGGTGGTAGCGTTACTGTCCTGTGTGCTACTGAGTATATCAGATGAAAGGCGACGTGGCTGGTGTCGCTTGATAGGGTTCAGCATCCAAACAAACATGTTGGAAGTGGCTGCCCGTTTGTGGGATGTGCATACAACCAAATCTGGGTGCGAACGGGGCTGATGGATGGTTACGAAGATCGTGAAAATGTTCTGGAGGCAGGAGGGTGTCGATGTGATTTGGATGTTCAGGCTTATCGCGTGTTATCGATGTTGGGAGAAGGGTGCCATGATCGTTGTCTGCAGGTGCTGGGCAAGTCTGTGTTGTCAACTCTTTGTCTTAGGTGCTTGTTGCAGGCGGTGCTCGACATACTGTGGTTGGCGGTGGATGAAGACGGAGAGTTGCGTCAGCGACGAGGCAAGCTGGATTTCGCAGACGTGGCGTATTTGCGCTGCTTGATGCGGAGATATGGTTGGGAGAGATCTGCAGGAGGAGTGGAGGGGTGTTCTTGGTCAGAGTGTTTTCCTTTCATCTCACTATCAGAACAAGAAGTACGTGCCATTTGCGTGGATGCTGGTCACCCAACTACTTCATCCGCGCAACACACCTTCGTTACAAGCTCTGCGCGCCCGTCACAGCCCAGCGCTTATGCGAGAACTGCGTGCGCCCAGGACCCGTAATGTCTCTCCCAGGCGTCGACGAAACCATCCATGAAAGGTCTGTGGAATTCGTTTTTTGGTCCGGATGGAGAATACATAAATGTCTATTCTGTGCGCTTCATGCTGCTGAAACAATAGTGTTTGTGGGACAGACGAAGAAAGCCGTGACCGTGGGTAATAAATACATGTAAATACATTCTTTCGGTTCTGGCGCTCGTTTGCTTGACGGTCGGGTCGGGGCTGTCCGAGTGAAGCAAACAAGAGTAGCGTGACATGAAAGGTATATAGAAGGACGTCTTTGTTGACGAGGAGGAAGCGCACATAAATGTAGTTTGCGCGCTTCATCCTGCTGAAAGTAGCGTGTTTGTGTGTTATTTCGTTAGATGAAAGCAACCATGTGCGCTTCATCCGGCTGAAGCTATACTGTGTGTTGGGTCGTTTCTGTGTAGGGTTCGAGTCTATGGCATTGCTCGGACAGGAGTGATGTTTCGCCGGTGGTGGTACAGTTGGAGCTGGATATACGGCAATGGCAGGAAGAGCAGCGCTGCGCTCGACTACCGACTGCCGACGAAGACAGCGTCCTGTATAGGCGCATCGCGAACTACTGCAACAAGGAGAAGAGCGCGCGTTGTCGCTTGATGCGAGCTGCGTATCCTGCCGATGTGGAGAGTATTCAGGAATTGAAGTTGGATTGTTTGGAGGCCTCGGATGACGGAGATGGGTGTGTGAAGTGGAGATCGGACGTAGAGAGGCAAATGATGCAGTCCATCTCTGGGTGGCGTGAAGGTAATGTGGTGAAGAGCTGTTTCGTGCCACTGGACGCAGTGCTGTTTGCGGTGGCGCGCCTGCTGTCGATGTGGACATGGACGGCGACGCAGCCTTGGTTGCGGAGATGCCACACACCCAGATGGCCAAAGAAGTCTTTGCGCTGTTGACCAACGTGAATCTGAAGTTTGAGACTAAGTTGCGAAGAGCGGCGCAGATGTTGGCCTGCACACCCACCTTTGCTGGAGTCGGTGGAGCGCTGTCGCGTTTAGTGTTGTGTTCTCAGGAGGAGGACAACGTGGAGAAACCGTTGCAGCGGTTTGAGTGTCGTTTGTGCGACTTCGGCGCTACTGGAGAAAGAGCCTTCTTGGATCACGTCATGGAGAAGCGCAGCGGTGGCGCAGATGGAAGTCGTGCGCTCATCGAGTATCGCAAGAAGGTCGTTGGATTAGCAACGCACTTGGGACCTTCAGATGCTTGGCTTCGTATGTCAGAGGGACGTGCGCTTCATTCTGGTCAACTTAGATTGATGTGGGCTCTACTCCGGCTGAAAATGAAGTTTAAGCAGGACGAAGCGCAGGTAAAACAGATTTATGTGCGCTTCACTCTGGTCCACTGACGTTGACGCGCGCGTCATTGACCCCAAATTCATCCAACCACACGGTAAAGTTGAAGCCAGACGAAGCGGGCACAAAGCACATTTGTGTGCGCCTCATTCGGGTCAACTTAGATTGATGCTTGTTTCATTGTGTTCGAAGTGTGAGGTCACGAGCTTCGCCACGCAGCGTCGCTGGATGGAGAATGCAGATGAGAGGCTCAGACAACCGGACCAAGGAGGCCGCTTCGAGACGGGCTGTGTGGTGTGCGCTCGTAGGTTTTGGCGAGAGCAGCTGAAGATGTTGATTTTGTTCCAAGACCCTGCGGGCAACTTCGAGTTGGGGGAGAGTGGACACAATTCCGCCTGGACAACAGGAGCGCCTGTGTCGAATTTTCGGGGTGGAAAGATACAGTCGACGCTGGCCCCACATTCCGGTGACGGAATTGCGCGCTTCTGCTGTGGAGCATCCGTAGTGCAAGGGCGAGCGCCTGCTTTTGCGCAAGCGAAGGATGCCGCCTGGTATGCGTGGACTGAAAGGGGTCTTTGATGTCTTCCATTTTGACACTTCCTCGGCGCAGCTTGGCGAATGACCTCTGGATCGGCGAGCGACCAGCTGCGCTGCAAGACTTGGCGTCGGCCACAAAGCGACTACTTCCAATGACCAGGGCGTGTACGCAGGTGGTGTTTTACAACCAGGACATTTGGCGCGCGAAGAGCGTCAGCATGGATTTGTTGGGAACACTTTTTTTTGCCTCAAGCAAAGCCGTCTTCGGTGCTGAAGACCTTGCCTCCGCGAGAGGTGGACATGCAAGATGCAATTCTCTTTGTCTTGGTTGGGAGCCAGAAGGATGCAGTCAAGGGGTCGTCTTTGTTGCGAGCGCCCAGGAGTGAGTACGGTGCTGCTGTGGAGTGTCTGCGGCAAACGAATCCTTTCTATGCAGAAGTGACATTGGGAGATGGTGGTGATGACCTTTTGGAAGGTTGCGTGTTGGAAACTGCAGAGGATTCGGCAATGAACTGTTACAGAAAGGCCCCGTCGACGCACAAGGACAAGAGACACTGGAGGAGGAGGAAAACGATGGCGCCGCTGAAGACCAAGATCGAGGCAAAGAGGCACCAGGCGGAGCGTGGGTGTTGTTAGCGAATATAGTCTTTGTCGTTTTGCGATCGTTTGCTTCACTGTCGGAGCTGTGCGAGTGAAGCCAACGAGACTAGATTAGGGGATCTCAGTGAGTTTCCTGAAGATGTATTGTGAAAGGTTGGCTGTAGGACAGACGAAGAAAGCCGTGGGCGTGGGTAATCAATACATATAAATACATGCTTTAGGTGCTTGAATATGCATTGTGAAAGGTTTGCTGTAGGACAGACGAAGAACGCTTCGCAGGTCATTTGATGTCCTGCATTGTTGGTTTGAACGACGGAGCCGACGAACAAAAAAAGTGGGTACGTGTGGTGAAGGACATGGAGGAGGTTTGCTTGAGACAGGGTGGTCAGCGAAGGAGCCTTGCTGCTACTGTAGTACGAAATCGCGTCAACTACGAGGTGGTATCTACAGATGCGGACGCCCACGGACCCACGGACAGCTCTTGGGGCGTGAAGGAAATCAGGAAAAGCAAGTACTGCAGAAGGTTCGCAACATTCAGAAGATCGCGCGCGGCGCCGCTGAAAATGAGCGTGCTGTGGAGTCGGCAATGTCCCAAGTCAAACCTTCCAAGTTGGTGGTTCCGAGCAAAGACGAACCTCTGTCCATGTTCGAGGCAGCGACCTGGGGCATGTCGTTTCCAGACTTGTTTCCCTACGCTGACGGCTTGCCGTTTCTGAAGCGGGACACCAACATGGACGCCACGGAGCTCTTCCGGTATTTACTGCTACGAGAAGAGCTGCAGTACACTGATACCCCACCAGCGTTGCCGAGATGGTCACTGTCGGCGCCTTGTATACACTGTATGTGAAAGTGGCATGCTTTTTTGGGAATAGACTCTTTTGTGTAAATAAGCTTTTGTGTCTTTCTGTGGGGTCTCTGGGACGGGTCGTGCTCAGTTTGTCGTTCTGACTGCTTCCTCTTGTATGTTGAGAGCTTTGCATCGACAGCGTTCTCAGGAGACGTTGCTACCAGTGATGTATTGTGTGCAACGTAGACTGCACCTACTGCGCGCAACCAAAGCACACGTCATGCGTCGAGGTTTCGGGAGACACTGTCGTGTCATTTCCGAAGTCCACACGGACCAGTTGCTGAAGGCCATGGCTTTGCGCGGGGACAATGCAGACCTCCGAGAATTGATGCGAGATCCAGCGGTGGACGTATCCCTGAAGCGGGCGTTGGGGGGAGTGCTCCAGGCTACGTCCAACATCATCGGTATGGAGGGTCACCGGAGTCAGATCCGTCTACTTGGACATGCAGCTGCGTGGCGCTATGGTTCGGCGCACTTGTTCGTGACCCCCAGCATCGCTCAGCATTGCTACTACAATTGCACTACCAGGCCATGAAAGTTGAAGAGCACAGCATCGATTTGGATTGGGAGGTGGAGATGCCGCAGTTGCCGAGCGCGGCGTCGATGCGGCGCATTGTCGCTCGCGACCCCGTGGCCCAAGCCCGCTGTTTTGCTTTCATGATGGACATCTTTTGCGAAGAAGTTTTCGGCATTCTTCCTCCCTGGAGAAAAGGAAGTTATCGTGTGGGTGTGCCGGCTACCTTCGAAGATGTTGTGGGCAGTTCTTTGCAAGGAGGCATTTTTGGTGATGTTGCGGCATTAAATGGTCCGTTGGAGACCCAAGGCCGCGGTCCCTTACACCCTCACATGCTGATTGTTTTGCTGGGACACGATTTGGGAGATCGTTTGCGCGCGCTCATGCATCGGTCGCAACATGGTGAGTTGGTCATTGAGCTGCAGCGGTGGAGCCGGCGTGTCTTGGAGGCTGTTCAACGTTATCAGTACGATTCTCAACTGGCACTGTCGCAGCAGTTGCAGTGTCCGACAGAGCCCCTGCCTCTGAATGAACGCCAGCGATCGGAGCGCGGCCATCAATATGAGACCACCGCGCTGGTGCCCACAGAGCCAGATGGACATGAAGTGGAAGCGTTGAAAGGGGGTGGATCTCTGGCCGCCAAGCTTTTGACGTTGACGGGCTGTTATGCGTCCTTGCGACCGAAGTATCTGCGACGCAGTGAGCGTGCTGTGGGAGATGCTGTGTGGTGGAGGAAGAATTTTAGTGAGGATTACAGGCGTTTGGTGATCCAGAATCATTTCCACAAATGCACGACATCGTGCTTCAAAAAGCTTCTTGCACTGAATCCAGTCTGGTTTGCTTACCTTTGCTTTCTGATCATTCCTGTCGTTGATGATGTTATGCTTTTGTTGCGCTTATGATTTCCACTGTCGTGGTTGCGGTTATCGTGGGAGGTGTAGCGGTACTTCCCATAAATATGTATGTCCAGAGTGGCCAGCCTGACACACTCAGGAAGCCGTGAAGGGCAAACGTGAATGTCGTTTTGGCTGCTTTCATATTGAAATGATCTGTGACCAGGACGACAAGCCGAAAGTGCTCTGCCGGAAAGGTTGGCCTCGAGTGTCGAAGGCTGGTTTTTCCGGATCGCAATATGATACGGAGGAGTTGATGGAGATGGAAGAGTTCAAGAACGAAAACCCTCATGTTTTCCGGGCCCAACGGGATCATCCATTTGAGGGAATGTCCAACCCGGTCGCGCAAACGGTGATGCGATGCAATGTGGATGTGAAGTACATCGGCCGCACCTTCGCAGAGGCTGACCTCTTGAAATTCTGCGATGGCACGGTGGACGAGGAGCTGGGACTTGAAGTTCCTGTTTCTGCATCTTCTCCGTCGGGATTGTCCAGGAGTGGATTGCAGGAGATGGAACTTCAGGACCCGGCTCCGATTTCCACCGCCCGCACAGCGCAGGCTGCGACAGAGACCCCGAGCATATAGCAGTCGCTGCATCGAGCTCCGACCTGCCACACGTGGAGCAAGCCATTGCTACTGGGTTGGGTGGTGGGGAGTCGTTGCCGAAGAAAGGACGCGCCGCCCGTGCGATGGACACTGAGCCGACGAAGATGCGGGCAATGAGAAAGGCGCTTCAACGCATTCTGGTGGATCTTTCAAGGGATGTGCAAGATGTTGGCTTTTGCCCAGGTGAGTATGCTTCGAAGAAGTTTCAAATTTCGCGGAGCATGCTGCCTGAATTGTATGCAGGAGTGCTTTTGTGGTGGAGGGAGTTGTTTCTTAGTGCATATTTGGAAATATATCACGACTGTACCGACTACTAGTTTCAGTAGCGCGGCGTGCCATGAATTGTAGGTTGGCTGATCATTCAGTGTGGATGCTTTTGGGACCGACGCAGGAGTTCAACGATTGGAAGAGGAAGAAAAGAAGAAGGAAGAGAACTCTGCGGCGGGGACTGAGCCAGAAGTGGCAGGGGGAAACAGAGTCAGCCTCATGAGCGGACAACAGAGTCGCGCGCTGATGATTTTGCGACGACTGGCCTTTGGAATGAATCGTTGTGTGGCCAAATCCAATGGGGAGATGGCATACCAGTTACTCTTCGAGCAGGAGCACATTGTGACGTATCGTGGTTACAATATGTTTTTCCGGTACGTGCCTTTCGCGATGATGCGATGCAGGCAGGAGGACATGGAGAATGTCTTGCAGCAGAAACCGCATCTGAAGAGTGCTCCTTTGGACGTGGTTGAAGATCCTGAAGGACAGGGACCAGTGGCTGTGGATGAGATTGCTGATGTTATGGACGAGGAAGGTGAAGCGCGCACCGTCCACCAGGTGCATGTGAACTTCAGCCAGAAAGACGATTACCTGCGCAGGGGCTCTTCTGTGTTACTGCAATGCATGTCCCTGGTGATGTATTCTCGTTTTTGTGCGGAGGGTCTCGAGGAACAAAGCTGGCAAAGTGGCCGGAGTGAAATTCTTTGATTTCGATGAGCATTATCCTCACTTCCATTCTTCTGTTCAGGCCTGTCTGGGAATTGTGTCCAGACAACTACGTAATGGAGATCCGAGACGTTCAGAGAGCAGTTGTGTTTGTATATGTTGTAGATACCACATCTGATCCCTGTGAGTATAGTAGTAAAGACGACGCTCGCTATAGTGTGAACATTTGCTCTGAAGTTTTGTTCTTGTTCGAAAGCCAGTGTCTGCAACCGACCACGCAGGAGGTGAGAGCAGCAGATGACAACGTAGTGGCGCCGGCGAACTTGCATCTACCAGCTGATGTGGAAGTGTAGAAATATGCTGCTCACATGTTGGGACTGTCTTATCCTTTTCCGACCTGCGCTGGGGAGGCGTGCTCCGCGCGCGCTTCTCAACGCACTGGACGCGGTGGAAGGCTCACATGTCGCTGTGGAGATGCTCGGCGGAGGAAAGAGTCTTGGCTGGCTTGTCGGCGCCAGCGATTAGAGATGTTGCAGGGGTGCGTCCATATTTGATGGCCGCGAAGGACGCCAATGTTGCTTTTCGGTACCTGGAGCAGATGTTGTTCAGAGCGGCAGGAGTGGATTGTCGCTTTCATGATGTGCTGCGCATCTGCGAGCGCATGGGCTGGTACGCGGAGTTGTCGGTGCCGTGTCACTACACGCAACTGACACCGCAGGAGTTTTTCGCCCATCTGCAGACAGCTTGGTTGGAACGCTTTGAGCAGTACCACGCTGCGCGTCGTTTGAGTAGCAGTCGTCGCAGAGCGGAGCACTTCGCGCTCATGACTTCTTTGGACAAGGTGGAGGATCTGGAAGATGACGCAGCGCCCCCGGACATAGAAGGAGATGACGTCGAAGACGATTTGCGTTTGCGCGAGGAGCTGGAGAACTTGGAACGTGCACAGTGGCCGGTCGATGGGAACTCTTTGCACGAGGCAATGTTTCGAGAAGAGGAATGGATGAAGGTCCTGGGTCGACGCAAAACTTTGGTATTGCAGGACACTTTGAAGTGCTTACGTGACTTTGTGAATGGTTTGGGAGGTGTTCCAGATGCGAGAACTGATTTGGGCATCAAGAACAGTGTGATTACTGGGCTGGATCGCAGCTGGACATCTGCTGAAGCTCAGCAATCCTTGATGCTGCAAAAACAGTATTTGGAATTCTGTGTGGAGGCGGGAGGCTTGTCGGTTGCTGTGTCTATGACTGACGATTCGTTGTTTGGTATGAAATGTCTTTTTTCGTGACGCGTTTCCACGGGTGTGACTGAAGTGTTGACGTGAGAATTTGGTTCTACTTCATCTCCATGCATCAGGCACTGAAGATGACGATGAGATGGCAGTGGACCATGGGTTTCAGCCTTTGCAGGAGACGGAAGATGCGTTTTTGGTCAAGCTTAACGAAAAGAACATGGGTCCATCTGATTATGCGGCTGCCTTGCTGGTGGAGCACAGTTTGAATCGTCAACAGATTTTGGCGATCGCTCCCATTGCTTGGGTTATGGAGCAGATGTGGGTGAACCGCACCCAGCCGGAAAACTGCAGAGCTGATGGGGTGTGCAATGAAAGTTGCAATTGTCTTTGGCTTGGGGCTGGTGGTTCCGGGAAGACGTATGCCTACACCAGGGTTTTGAGACCGTTATTTCGACGTTTCTTTGGCTTGGAGGGCTACGTTGTGGGTGCTCCTACGCATGCTTCGTTCGTTTGCTGGGCCCGGAGGCCAAAACTCTCCACAAATGGGGCAATGTGCACAAAGGGAGTGGCTTGGATCGTCGCGCTTGAGAACTGCAAAGAGCAAAGGCGACCCAATCGAGAAAAAGATAGAGGCCGCCCGATGTCTACCACGCTGGCGCGTTTCGTTTTGCCATGACTCGACAGGAACGTTGGAGGCTGGAGATCGTTCGGTATTTGGAGCAAAATGGTTGGGTATACGGTATAAGATTCCCATTGCAGCCCAGCTGCCTTTCTGCAATTGCGACCAACTGCCTGTCTGTCCTTGTGTGAGTGGCAAGACGCCCAACGGGCCACCGACGCAGCGGCGGTGCCCGAGAGCGACCAGGAAGCGGAGGCCGGCGTTGAGGAGGCGGCGGCGGAGCACACCAGCAATGCTTCCGAACTAGGACGACTGGCGTTCAAGTCCTCGCTGCAGCGAGTCGTGCACTTCACTGGATCGGGTCGGTTTTCCCAGTGCGCATCTGGACAACAGCTGGTCAAGATTCTTTTGTCGATGCTGGAAGGACGGCCTTTGGAGGATGGATTGTGGGAGGCTTTAGAGGCTCGGTTCGATCGGCCGAGAGCAACTGCTGGAGAACGAGGGGTTGCGGACGCGGTTGTTGAACGCTCACTGGGGTGGTCTGGCGTGGGAACAAGTGGCTCGATTGCAGCGTCTCCGTGTTGCCTGGGAAGCTCAACAACGATCCACCACGTTGTTTTTGGTGCAAGCCATCGATCGCGCGAAAGGACCGACTGAATTGACGAAGGAGCAGAATTTGGCTGCGCTGCAAGTCGCGACATGAACAAGACCCAATACCTGATGGGCATTTGCCCGCTGTTTGAGGGGATGGCATCGCGCATCAGTTGAATTTTTGGACATGCCGATGCTCACCCGAGAGTTGCCCGTCATTATTCGGTCCATCAAATTGCACCCCAAAGAATCTGCCATTCCGCCAGGCAGCGGGTGCGGTGTTAATGCGATATCAGCCGTTGGCTGTCTTGGTTGAGGTGGATGATCCGGAGTATCGTAGCATTCAGGTGCCAGATGGCAGTGCTCCGCCGGGTCACGTGTGGCTGCGCGCCGTGACATCGGATCCGGGGTGGGATCTGTCTGTTGGCGGGAAGCAAGCCGTGCAGGTTGTGCGCAAGCAGTTGCCGCTGGCACCTCGTTGCGTTCTCGCGCATTACGGGTTACAGGGCATCGCTGCGAGACAAGGCTTACTGGCTTTCTTGTCGAAACCCTCGTGGATGAGCAATGCCGACTATGCCTTGGCCATTTGTTTATGTGATGTTGTCCAGGCCAACAAAGCTCGATGATCTGTGGATAGTTGATCTGCCACCTCGAGGTGTTTTTGAGACCTTCCTGCATGAACGCAATCCGGTGCTGGTGAAGAGAACGCGGGAGTTTGAGGAGCAGGCCCGGGTGGATGAAGGGACAGCCATTGAGTACGTGCGCCGGCTTTCCTGGCAGGGAATCCCTTCATTTCGCAAGCGCTTATCAGCTGATGAGCTTGCTGCGATAGTTCCTGCTTAGAGTTCTTCGCGGATGACAGAGCTGTGAGGCGGCAGCCATTTTATAGCGCTGCAAGAACTGTTTGCGCAATCGGATGGAAACCCGACATAGTTGAGTGTGTCGCAAATACTTCTTGCGGAAGGGATTGCCCGAGCGAGGAGGGAGCGGCGAGCATAACGAACCCAAAGCAAGGATCCACTAGCATGTCTTTGTGAAAATTGTCCAGATCCGTTTGCGCAGCGGTCACGTCCTCGGATGGATCTGATACATATAAGACGCTGAAGCACGGCGCGAGGGCGTGTTGTTGTGGAGCATGACTGTTGTTTTGTAGCAAACTTGGCCTAGCTGAGTGTGTTGCAAATGCTTCTGGCGGCAGGGATTGTCCGAGCCAGGAGCGAACGTCGTATATAACGAACACAGAGCGATGCTCCACTAGCATACCCTTGAGTCCTCGTTAAACGAAGACATGAAATTGACACCGAAAAGGTAAATTTGGAGTTTTCGGTTTGTGGGAAAAATATATATGGATACCTTGACACTAGGTTGGTACTGAACTTTGCTTTCATACCTGCATGACATTTTACTGACCAATCTGACGTCATATGCTTCATTCACGGTATGTAGGTACCGAGCTTCTGGGTTTGACCAATCTGGAGCGGGCTGAGGCGGAGACAGATGCGGCTGGATGTGTGGAGCCGCTTCTCATTCGTGTTTGCGACGGAAATCGTTGTTGTTTGGACTGGGATGAAGCGCGCGTAAAAATTACTCGGGGGATACTGGTTTTCGTGGCTAGAATGAAGCGCGCGCAAATGCGTTTGGTGTGCGCTTCGTCCTGGGTATCTTTGGTTGGATACTTCAAGTGACGCTGACTGCTTACGAACCTGAGAACAGGTGATCATAACTTGACTATCTGCCTTCAGAAGCTGCTGGGGGGGCGAGGTGTGGAACAGCTGGAGTAGCGGGAACAGCGACAGGTAGTGAGGACCGCAATAGATATGCCTTCAGAGTATGTTGCTCCGGAGGTTTTGCAGTTCGCGTTGTATTGACCTTGACAGGAAGTTGGCACTGTACTTGAGGCCTGGGAGGACACTGCTGTGAATCAGTCGAAACCAATAATTTCTTTAAGTGAAAAGTATAGTTTTTTGAGGCCAGAACGACGCGCACGCAAATGCGTTCTGTGTGCGCTTCGTCCTGCTTACATTGGAAGGGTTTTTGTGATACTTGAAGTGAGATTGACTTCTGAAGAACCTGGTGCCAGGTGCTCATAAACTGACTATCAGCTTGAAGAAGCTGCTGGGGAGGCGAGCTGTGGAACATGATTTATTGATGACTGCGTTCGCGTTATATTGACCTTGACAGGAAGTTGGCACCGGACTTGAGGCCTGGGAGGACACTGCTGCGAATCAGTCGAAACCAACAATTTCTTTGCAATGAAAAGTCAAGTCTTTTTTGGGGCCAGAACGAAGCGCGCACAAATGCGTTTTGTGTGCGCTTCGTCCTGCTTACATTGGAAGGGTTTTTGTGATACTTGAAGTGAGACTGACTTCTGAAGAACCTGGTGCCAGGTGATCGTTAACTGACTATGAGCTTGAAGAAGCAGCCGGGGAGGCGAGCGGTGGAATAGCTGGAGTATCGGAAACATCATGATTCGAGGTTTTGCAGTTCGCATTTTATTTACCTTGACAGTAAGGCGGCGCCGTACTTGAGGCCGAGGAGGACATTGCTGCGAATCTGACAGAGAGGCACTGAGATTCGTTGCTGCAGGATGATTTTGGAAATCATGTTTTTGGGACCAGCATGAAGCGCATATAAATATACTGATATATGTGCGCTTCATCGGGCTGGTGCTGTACTGTCACTGGACGTGAAGCTCGACGCAAGAATGCAATACTTGGCTCCAGCTTCGCGACCGCACATCGTTGCAGGTCATTGCCGTTGCTGCTCCACTCTTTGAAGGGCCTGTCCGCGAGAGTGGAGCTGATGGCTTGAGGCGCACTTACGGCTGACTGCCTGTTTGTCTGATACTAGAAGTGAGACTGATTTGCTTGGGGCCTCTGCTCGCAGGATATCTACTCGCCCCTTGTTTTTGGGACCAGGATGGAGCGAACGCAAATCCATCTTGTGTGCGCTTCGACCTGCTTATGCTTTACTTCTTTTTTTCTCTGTACTTGGAATACTTGAAGTGAGACTGGCTTCTTACGAACCTGGTGCCAGGTGGTCATAAACTGACTATCAGCTTGAAGAAACTGCTGGGGAGCCGAGGTGTGGAACAGCTGGAGTATCGGAAACAGCATAATCTTGATGATGGCAACAGATATGTTGCTCCCGAGGTTTTGTTCTTCCTAGTGCGTTTGCCTTGAGAGTAAGTTGGCAACGTACTTCAGGCCGAGGAGGACATTACTGCGAAGCTGACAGAGAGGCGCCCAGATTTCTCAGACAATTCTTGTTTTGGACATCATCTTGTTGGGACCAGGATTCGGGACATGCAAATGTATTATATGTGCGTTGCAGCCGACTTGCAGTGCGTTGTCGCTGGATGTGAAACTTGACGCGACGATGCTCGACTTGGCTCCAGCTTCGCAGCCACGAGTCATTGCTTCGAGCGCGCCGTGATCAGGTCTGTGAGCTGATGGCTTTGACGGAATTGCGAGCTTGTGTAGGTCTCACTTGTCCTGATCGTAACATCGTTTGCTCTCAGGTCGCAGTGTTGGTGGTTTGAAGGGCCTGTCCGCGAGAGTGGAGCTGATGACTTGAAGCGCAATTACTGCGTACTTTCTGTTCGTCTGATACTTGAAGTCAGACTGACTTGCTTTGAGCCTCTGCTCGCAGGATAGCTGCTCGCCGCTTGTTTTTGGGACCAGGATGAAAGCGCACACAAATCCATTTTGTGTGCGCTTCGACCTGCTTACGGTTTACTCCGTTTTTCCCGAATGCGTAGCGAAGGGTTCCCGTTTATAGTTGGGGGTCTGGGGGTTGGAGCTGTGTTTGCATGGCTTGCGTCGTCTCGTCGTCTCTCGTCGTCTGTCGTCGTCTCTCGTCGTGTCTCGTCGTTTGTCGTCGTCGTCACGTCTCAAATTCGCTGCCATTGGGGGAAGCTTTTGCAAGTGACTTTGCATGGATGTGTCACGTGTCAGTTTGCGCCGCTATTCCATTGTGATTTGCATGACAATGACATGTCGCGCAAGAAACGGGATGCATTTCGCTGCACAGGCGCAGCGTTTTGTGAGATCCGCAGTTTGCTGCGCAGTGTTTTGGGACTAGCGTTTGGAGAGTCGTGTTTTTGGGGTGTTGGATGTGGCCGTGCCATTGGGATTTGCATTTCAGGGCGTGGCATCGAAGCTCGGTTTTCGTGACACGTCTCAGCTGAAATGGCGATTTTGGTGGATGGGAGTGTGCTCAGAACGGGTTGAAATCATTCCAGACGTGTGGTGTGGTGCAAATTTTGTTGAAGCTCACATGAGATGATATTGTCACTTTTTCGTGGTAGGCGCAGGACTTTGTGCGGGTTTGGAGGAGTGGAAGTGCGATTCTCGTGGCAGGCGCAGGGAATCGTGAGGTTGCGAGGTGTGACGGAGGTGACATTTCGTGGCAGGCACAGTACTTTGTGCGCGTTAGACGTGTGGACGCGGAAAGAGTCGTTGCAGCGCAGGGAATCGTGAGCTTGTGAGTTGGCGTGTGAGCGGATGTTGTTTGGAGGGGCTGGAATCGCGAAACTGCTTGGCAGGGCTGCGTGATGCGTGTGCTCCGATGGGTGTTTCCGCTTGACTTTTGGAGGAAGTCTCGTACGAAACGCTCGTGTTGCAGACTTTGACGTGGGAGTTTTGGAGGAAGTCTCGTACGAAAGGCTCGTTTTGGAGACTTGACGTGTGACTTTTTGAGGAAGTCTCGTACGAAACGCTCGTTTTGGAGACTTGACGTTTTGTGAGATCCACAGATTGCTGCGCAGTTCCATTGAGATTAGCGATTGGAGAGTCGTGTTTTTGGGGTGTTGGATGTGGCCGT